TACGATGTAATGACTAGATAGGCTGCTTTACGCTTTACTGATCATGTTTGAATTTATGTTAAAAGTCTTTTTAGATAAAGGTTTTACTACTAGTATCACATGAACTTAACTTTATCAAAAACCACGAAAATTGCACCATGTCAGGAGGCCATGTCCCATATACACCATATAAACAAAGGTAACCTTTAGTTTAAAGTATCTAAGAGATGGACTTAACCACGAAACCTAAGTTTGATCATTGAACCATGAAAATAAGTACAAGATCAAATGAAATTGGTCATATATACATGTATATCATACAATGATTCCTGCATCCAATGTAGTTGAGCTTTTGATTATAGTATAATAAAAGAAAAGCCTAGAAAACTTAACATTGATCAATCAATCCATGGAAATGAAGTCAAGGTCAGATGAAACCTGAAAGACGGTATCTTTTCCTTACTATTATTCCATTCAACAAATACAGTTGACATATTGATTGTGGTGTCTGAGATACGGATATAACCACGAAACTAACTTTGAGTTCGAGGTCAGTGTCCATTTCTAAAAACTAAGTACACATTATTGTTTATGGGCCAACTGAAGCCCGACTCCGGGTGCGGAATTTTTTTCGCTGCGTTGAAGACTCATTGGTGGCCTTGGGCTGTTTTCTGCTCTTTTGTCGGGTTGTTGTCTCTTTGACACATTCCCCGTTTCCATTCTCTATTCTATTTCGCTGACGGCCTTGAAGACCCTGCAAGGATCCCATAAACCTAATTTATTTATCCTATTACTGGTAAAGCGTGAGAAATTCCCATGACCTAAAAAAAAAAATAATCCCTAGCTAAACCATGAAAATGATGCCAAAGATAAGACGTATGATGGACGGAAAATTAGTAACATAAGGCATCTGTATATAAAGTATGAAGCATCCAGGTCTTCTCATATAAATAGCGTTAAAAAAAATATGAACGCCTCCGCTTGATTAGCATCCCTGTCTCGCATTCTGTAACAATCGTAGCAGTCGAGACAAAAATGAAATTCATATTTGAATTATTATTTTTCAAAGATGATCTACATCAAGACATTTTCATGACTTATCTAGGGGTTAATTTTATCCGGCAGTAACCGTTATCTTGATTTAGGTAAACTTTCTACCGGTTACTGTATTCCATTAATTGATTTATTCGTATGTTTGTTTGAATGTTTAGTCAGTTGTGTTGTATGGCAGAGGTTTACCCAGTCTTTGCTGTTGGGTCCCAATTATTGTCACATTAACCTATTATGTCGGTGTCGGTTGCTCACCAAATGTAGTCATTATAACGAAACTATAAACAACTGTCATACAGTTGGGAGGTTTAGCTAGCTTTAAATCTTGTCTTTATCATTGTTTTTATCTATCTATTATGGTTTTTAAGATACAAGACAAAAATGCAAAAAAATGCCTCTGTCAGATTTTCCCTCTGTTTTTTAAGATGAGATAAAACCTTCAATGTAACCCTATGTTCTATTTTTAGCCGTGGCAGCCATTTCGGTTGGCAGGCAGCGTCTTCGGACACATTTTGTAAACTAGATATCCTTAAATATGATTGTGGACAAGTGGTTAAATTTGGCCTAGTAGTTTTCAGTGTAAATGTTCACGGACGATGACGGACGCCAAATGATGAGAAAAGCTTACATGGCCCGTTAGTCCACGTGAGCTAAACATATCTTGTAACACCTGCATCGTGTAAATTAATTTTGATGTATTTAACTTTAAGCCATCAAATGTTTCACCTGAAATTAGACATTTCAATTTTCTGTTATTGAACGTCCAGAAAAGAATTGATCCATAAACAGTGTATGTAATGTGCGAATCCTGGAATGTCATTTTAACTGTATCCGTGATGAATTTCTGATGTAGAATGATAAATAAACAGACGACAAATTCGTGATTTTTAAAAAAAATAAGGTATAATATATATTGTGTACTGTTTTTATAAATTCATGATATAGTTATGAGGTGCGGACGGGTTTTCATCGCGCCTACAGCCATCCAAGTGCAAAATTTATACACAAATAGATAAATATTAAGAATAGTTCACGAATAGAGCGTGCAAGAGATTTAAAAGTAGCAGTTAAGTTTCATTTGCAGAAAAATGTACCTTTTAACATAATTATTAAATATATGTTGTTTAACTTAAAACAGGTTTTGTTATTCAGCTTGTTGATATTGAATCAAATTCCACTATGCTGTTTTAATTATGCGATTCGTGTTTACTGTCGAATAATGATACTAGACTTTCATTTTCACTGTAGTGCGATTCATTTCTATTGTACATGCGATGCATTTTCATAGAAGGAAATCAATTAATTTTCGTTATATAAAGTCTTGATTCAGCCGACTCTCTAACAAAATTTATGAAGTCAGAAGGATTGCTTATATATGGAAACTTAGTGAGTGAAAGTCTGAGGTAATATATCAATAAATTCCTTAAAAATGGTATTTATTGCTAATATAGTCAATTTTATTTTCTCTAATAATTTGTCCAGATCCAGATCTATATGTAGGATAAAATTTATCCTTTCCTATGACACGCCATCATTAAATACATATATCTTGGACAGTTAAGCCAATCCACGTCACCGAAAAAGCAAAGTTTCTGTTTCGGTCTAAATATACATCGCATACTAATAAATTAAAACGTCATAATAGCTATTTTCCTAATGCTTGTAGTTTAAAGGTGTGGTTGGCTTGCTTGCTTTGATTGTGTATATGTTGCCCTTAGCATTGTAATTAAGATTGACCAAACACAAAACAATCTTCATTTCACGATTGAATGCGTGGAAACGTTTTCATTTTTCACAAACAGTTGACGCTTGGATGACGTTAATTGACGTTAATCGCTACATCGCGAAGTGATGTTGGTAGATAGACCGTTCTTATATTTTCACCAAAGACTAATTAATGTACTGTTCAGTTAAGTATTCAATGTTTATGAAATCAGCAGCATTGTATATCATTTATATTACATGAACACCATGTGACTATTTTAAATAGACAGGTCTGTGAATTACTTGTAAATATAACGAAACAAACACTATGTGTAACTCAAACTTGATTAAACTACAAATAGAGCATAGTTGGTTGGCTCTTACGCTGAATGCGACCGTGTATTTTGTACTTTGTTGTTGTTAAAAAGACATAATACGAATGAAAAACCCATTGTTTTAATTTTATTTGAAGACATTTACTTGAAAAACTGACCTCAGAATTTTGGCACTGTACGATTCATTCTCTTTGTATTTTGTTTACTTTCTTTAGTACCGTTCGTTGTAGATATCAATATGGTAGAAATATGTATGACACGGCGTGACAAATTTTCAAAGCTTTTTTTAAGCGAGATCTTAAACTTTTCATCGTAGAAATACGTTATATACGTGGATGTTCTGCTCCAGTAAATTTTCGGATCCATGACAAGCTAATAACAAACACACCAACAATTTTTGAATATGCATGATATGAACGTGGTTATACCCGTGTATATTCAAGTAAGCATCTACGACTAGCTTGCATTTTAAATTGTAAATATCACCAATATCAAAGTCATTTAAAAACTATTTTCAGTTGTTGCATGTCGAATTATCATATAAAACGACAATGAAAATTCATCGCACCTCCAAAAATTCCACATCAGAAATGATTGCACTTACAGTGATAATTCATCGCATCTATAGTTAAAATGAATCGCATTCAGAATTTAATATTATGGATTCTGCTGCTTAAACTACACTTTTTTGGACTTTAATCCTGTTATTATAAATTAAAAATTTATATTCTATTGAAATTCTGTTAAAACATATATTCAAATCAATTATTATGTATTTTCAAAAAGTAAACAAAGTTAACGCAGTTTTTCCCCCATCATCCATTATTCTACAATAGACATACTCGCATACAACAGTGAAAATGAACGAACTGGATTCGCACTTTATATACACTGCATAAAAGTGATTTCCTGAAGGAGGAAGCTCATCCATAAAAGTGATTTCCTGAAGGGGGAAGCTCATCCATAAAAGTGATCTTCTGAAGGAGTAAGGTACTATTTGAAGTGACATGATTTTTTTTGTAGGTTATATTGCATGACCTTGCAGTGAGATATGAAGCTGTAGGGGATTCTTGAGAGCAAGGACTTTTATATCTTTTTCATTTAAGTCTTCACAATCTACGAATACACATCTATCAAATAGTTAAGTTTTTTTTAGCCCTCCTGATGATAAGACTATCGCCGGTATTTTTTATGCCCCACCTAGGGGCATTATTTTTTTTTGGTCTGTGCGTCCGTTTGTCCGTCTGTCCCGCTTCAGGTTAAAGTTTTTGGTCAAGGTAGTTTTTGATTAAGTTGAAGTCCAATCAACTTGAAACTTAGTACACATGTTCCCTATGATATGATCTTTCTAATTTTAATGCCAAATTAAGTGTTTTGATCCCAGATTCACGGTCCACTGAACATAGAAAATGATTGTGCGAGTGGGGCATCCGTGTACTATGGACACATTCTTGTTATAAATTGTAAACCCTTTGGTTAATAGGGTGGAAACAGCATCACTTTAAAATGTTTTGTCTTTCACAGTGGGGTTCAAAGATAATGAGTTAGTTTGAAGGTTTATCAATTTAAATAGCGAATTTGTTTAAGTAAAGTCTATCACGTCTTTCTTCACCAAAATGAATGTCTAATTGACGGATGGTCAGAACACAACGCTCTTCCGCTCTCCAGATATATATGATGTTCACAATTAATGATCAGGAATGGGAGTTCTTGTCATTAAAATCATTTACATTTTGTAAAAGAGAGGCGAAAGATACCAAAGGACCATTCTAACTCATACGTCGAAAATAAACTGGCAACGCCATGGCCAAAAAAAGAAAAAGACCAAAAGACAAACAACAGTACACAAAACACAACACAGAAAACTAAAGACTGAGCAACGCGAACTTGTAATATGAGACAAAAACATATTTAAAGAAATAAAGTCTAAACTTTCCTTGAGGATTTTATTTGACAACTTTATAACCTAAGTTCTCAATTTCAAAAACATATCACTTTAGAAGATATATAAACTAAAGTTAAAAATTGAATTAAAATAACATGTATAGGGAATAGCCATAAGCTAAAAATATAATTAAATTAATTTCAAATATATGATGCAATGTTTAACAACAAAAAGTTAGTTCATTTTTACAGTTCAATGAGCATTCACATCAAATTATGGTGGCATTTCATTACGAATGGTTATGAATGACATTTGCTGGTCATCAATGTTTATGTCAAGGCGCTTTCAATTACAAGTTGGACTTTGATTGAGGTTTCTACAGAACGATCTACGACGCCTGAGTACAAATGAGTATGTCAATTCTGGGTATGTTCCGTCTCTGCAAGGGTATGTCATTTCACGTCGAACGGCACATCTACTAACGATCTCATAATCATCATGTTCATAGTAGATGGACATATCAATAGAAGGTCTGGAGGCGAATCCTGGGAAATACTTGTCTAACATGACCTTGTCGTATGACCATGATAAAAACTTAAAGGTGCACTCGTATACTTCTCCAGACTTTTCTTGACAGTCAGTTGAAATGAGTGGTCCCTGGGGGCAATATGTGACATCACCATTTTTCATTACAATTACTTTGGTATGGAAGTCGGGTTCATATTTGCTGCAAACAAAAAAAAGTGCAAAAATTAATGCCTTGTATTGCTACAAAGATGTGTAAAATAATATTTTATATTTTCCCTTTCCTCAAAAATTGGAAGGGAGTGGTCAACTAAAGGAAGCTATAAGCTGAACTAAATAGCTACATTATTATTCTTCAAATAAATGATACTGTGGTGTTTATTGTACAATACTCAGAAAAAGGTATCCATTCTTAATTTAAACATAAGAATGATAACTTATATACAGTGAACAGTAAAATACTAGTATGCAATGACCATATTCTGAAGAAAGTCATAAATTTATACATACTGTAGATTTAGAAATCATTGTGTGCATTTATTATTGAGATGTTTGAAGAATGGACAAAAATGCGAGATTGATTATTACGATTGCAGGAAAATTTATATTGTAAATATTACCAAACATTACTTGAATAACAAATCTGAGTGTGTGTCCAATACCTCGAACTACTTAGTGATTATCAATAAAAGAATATTTTGAAATATGCAAATGTGACTGCAACTCATATATGGCATCATAAAGTCTTTTTTTCTGTTTACTATCTCTCTCACATCTACCCAAAATCTACTTTTATTTATGAAACTTACTGTCCAAGAAGAACAATGTCTGGTATCCAGATTTCAGATGATGGAAGACTAATTCTGGGTTGTCCCTTTGGCCAGGTCAGTCTGGGGTCATTCCAATTCATACACTGCTGAGACTGAAGTACAAGTTTCTTACCATCCTACAGAAGAATGAAAAATATTTTCAACGAATCCAATGCAGAAAGAGAATGGTCCATAATGATTTGTTTTTCTTTTCTTAGAATCATGATTTGTTTTTCTTTTCTTAGAATCATGATTTGTTTTTCTTTTCTTAGAATCATGATTTGTTTTTCTTTTCTTAGAATTATGATTTGTTTTTCTTTTCTTAGAATCATGATTTGGTTTTCTTTTCTTAGAATCATGATTTGGTTTTCTTTTCTTAAAGTAATTACACTGACATGTACCATGTGATTTCAAACAAGGTAAAGGACGACTAACTTATAAAATTTAGTTTGTTTTATTTCTTGGAAAAGGGAATATCTTGATATATACATAAGTTACCAAATTAAGTACACACACCACGTCTCTGAAATAAATCATCTGTTATGTTCGTTAAAAGGATTGGTTGACTTGTTTGTTAAACGTCAAGTTCGGAAAGATAAAAAATAAGAAATTTTTAACATAAAGCAGACTTAATCTTTATATCAGTTCTTAGATACTTTATATAAAAAAGGTATGTGTATATGCTTGTGTACATGTCTACTTAAGTACTGTGATAGGACAATTGAAAAAAGTGTCCCTATTGTCTCATCTTAATCATATAATATACTGTTCGGCAAAGAGACAGACTTGCCCTTTTGTCATGATATATTTGGTTTTGAAATGACAGAAGGAATCGACTTTTCCGATTTCAATTGCCAATAATTACTCTTATAGTAAATCCTCCAGGGCTTAGGCATCGACCATTAATCTTTTGCGGGGCATGGTTTTTTCAATTCCCTACCCCCGATTTTATCAAAAACAATTATCTTATACAGAAGTATTTTATTTCGAAAACATACAACAACAAACTCAATTGTTTTTTTGTATTCATTTTCTTATTTCCTGATTGAAATATAATATAACTTTTTTTCACTTCCCTTCTGGAACATTTTTTAGTTTATTTTGAATCGAACAATAAAAAAAAACATGGCGCTCTCCCCTAACCCGAATAATTCAGTCCATCCCCGTGATCGACTCTCCCACTCGCGAGCCATCGTAGAGCAGTGGAATATAACGACTGAATTATTCGGGTTACTCTCCCCCTGGAAAACAACCTTAAACAATGCTAAATTTTGGACCATCCCTTATATTCAGTTAATGCGACAAAGTTCATAATAAATATAAAAGTATAATTAGGGTTAACTTACAAATTCAAAGATCTGCTGTGGGATTAGAGAGTGTGTGAGGTTGTTGACTGGATCTACTGGACGGACAAGTTTGTTGTAGCCATCAAGGACATATGTAATGATATCGTATTCCAACCAAGGTTTTTCTGTAATAATATGAGCAATCATTTCATTATTATATTTCAAACATGTTTACTTTTATTTGATAGCTTAAAATGTTTCGACCGTATGAAAAAGAATCATCATACGTTAAGGTAAGATACGATAAAAAAAATATTTTGATTCAGCATTTATAAAACTATACAACACAAGCTCGATAGAGCTTTTGACCGAATATAAAACATACATACTAGTAACATTAAAATAATAATAAGAACATGCATAACATACACAAAGTTAACATACTTTATGGTAATATGTTAATAAAATGATATGTTGGGTATACATTAATGCCATAGCAATCAAATGATACAAATAATGCAACATGTCTAGCTCTGAATCATACACCAGTCTAAAATTACATGCAACATTACAAAGAGTAAGGGAAAATTTTACTGTTACAACCAACTGAAATTTGAATATTAAAAGAGTATAAATAATCTTCAAAGATGTTATGTAGCACTCTAGTTAATTGTTGAAGACAGTTTTGGGTTCAATATCGATAATTTGACATGATTTTGGTCAAGTTTTGCATCCTTCACCAACATGCATTCAAAGTCATGATACTTAAAATAAAAAAAAAAGTTGAATATGTTTTATATATTTGAATGGCTAAGTTTTACTAAAAAAAAGTGTACATGGACTTTCTTGTAAAAGAAAATCCTTTATCAAAATTTTCAAAAATGTACTGCTATTGAATTATTGTCTTCCCGTACACTAGTTCGCCGATATTTTTCCGTATGCAGTTACCTTAACTACGAGACCTCTCGTTAGAAATTCGGCTACCACATAGCGTAAGTGCGAGGGAAACCCCATGATGGAAAAATGTAAACAAACGTGTACTGGATGGTAAATAGTAATAATTGATTCTTAAAGAACAAATAAGATACACAAAACCATTTAACGTCTGTTATGGGAAAGTTAAATTAACAAATGGGAACCCATGGAAGATATAAACAAAAAATTAACATCGCTCTTTCTATTCATTTCTTTTTCACATGCTCCATGATTCTGAGTTGATTGTTTATCAATGTCACGATCCGGTAAATACGAAATAAAAGTTATATTTATTCTGTTCATATATAACAGTACAAACACAAGCTCTTGAGACCTTTTAACCGAATATAAATAACATTTACATAACATTCAAACAGAGAGCATGCAGATAATATATATAAGTAGCATATATTACAATGCATGCAAGGAACTACTACCTACACTTCTAAACATGCTAAAACTGAATCATAATTAAAAAAATTAAAGCACAGATAAAATTTAATCACAACTAAAAAAAATTAAGCAAAACTAATTTAAAGCACATGTAATAAATGTAAAAGACGTTTATGGGGGACATGAGTTTAGTATAGATGCATTGGCTCAATAATTTCACAACATTATAATTACAAAAAAAATCGTTTCATATAACTAAGATAAATCAAGGCTGTACTTCAAATAGAATTTTAATTTCAGAGAATACAGAAATACAGAATTGTGTGTCTATGGCCTCAAAGTACACACATCAAACTGAATTTTAAGAATGGAACTATTTGAAATGGACCAGGCATGAAATAAATGCATAGGAAATTCGCCCTGCTTTTTTTAATTAAACATAACTTCATCAACACCATATTCTCCAAAAAAAACCATCAAGACATAAACATGTTTGTATTTTAACCAGTTTAAAATGTTTAATGTTGAACAAAGAGTGAGTAATCATACGATATAAGAAAATATAAAATAATCTTACCTCTGACAGTTACAGTAATTGTATTTGTGCTGACTGTAGCAAACCCATCTGTGGCCTCACATACATAACTACCACCATCGGCAAGTACTATATCAGTGATTGTAATGGAAGGAGAGTTGGCCATAGAACCAGAAATTCTAGGATTAGCAGCAATATTAATCTGGGCTGTATTTTTGTACCATTTAATTCCTGTAGCAGTTCCAGAAGTGACGATACAAGTTAAAGTTACAGATTCATCCTCCATTGGATTATAGAATGTTGTAGGTGCATTTACCGCCAATGGAGCTACAAAAGGAAAACATTTACCGCCAATGGAGCTACAAAAGGAAAACATTTACCGCCAATGGAGCTACAAAAGGAAAACATTTACCGCCAATGGAGCTACAAAAGGAAAACATTTATAATTTGATCTCAATGCTTTGTCCTGAAATTCCAAATATTTCTAATGCAAAAACATGCTTTACTTTAAAGTGTTGCTCTGTCAACGAAGAAAAGTGCTTGACGCATAGTAGTATGAAATTTACAGAAGAAAATGAATGAGTGAATGGCAATTTTGAATTTAACGGTGTGTGTTTTGGTGTTTTAAACATTTGTTGTGTGCATGTTTTTAAAAAAAAAAACACGATTTGAGCATGTGTTTTTAAAATGACCTGGTTTGACTATGTATTTTTAAAACACTTGTTTTATGTATTCTTTTAAACATTCATACTTACATCTAACGGTCAATGGTAGGCTGACTGTCTGTGGACCATTTAGTGTGTCCGGGTGAGTAACATCACAGAAGATAGTTTGTCCATTATTTATCATAGTTGGTGACCAGTTAAGTGTACCCACTGCTGTATATGACCTCGCGTTGGAATCAAATTGAGTATTAACCGAAAGTTCGGCACTGAAAACCTGGTTACCAATTCTCATAGACATAGATTGTGCAGGAAAGGCACCAATAGAAGTACATGTCCAGGTACCAGGTGTTCCGGATGTCAGTGCTGTTGGGCCGGTCAATGTTGGTTGTGATGGAGTTGCTGTAAAATATGCCGTAGTCATTAAAGTATAAGTTACTTTCAATATATCAATATCTTATGTTATACCAGACGTTAAGTATTTGTGAGAATAAAATAAATTAAACTTTATACAGGTAACAGGGGTTCATGAAAGCATAAGCAATCCATATTTTAAGACGATAGCCGCTAAAAAATAAGAATAAGATGTGTTGAGGAACCCCAATGAGACGACCTAGCAAACAGCAAAAAAAAAAACAATTAAAAGTCTTCTATTATATTTATAGAAAATTAAATATTATTTCCTCTTTTATACTTAATGTTGTTGATGCAGTGTCAATAGAAACTAACAGAGTGCATATACATAATTTTGTTTTAAAGTTTTTCTTTATTGTTCTCTCTCTCTCTCTCTCTCTCTCTCGAGATTTTCGAACAAGAATCTATATTTATAAACACACCTTTGGCAGTAACAGTGATGGTGCTGGTGTTTCTAGTAACGCTACCGTCTGTTGCTGAACAGATATAATTGCCAGTGTCAGATAAGCGTACGTTACTGATGGTTAATGAAGGAGAACTAGGAACGGCACCAGATAACCGGAAGTCGGAAGCCTTAATAACCATCTGGCCGTTTTTGTACCATGTGATTCCTGTAGCTGTTCCGGCTGTTACACGACATTGCAGTATGACGGTTTGTCCAGTTGTTGGCTCATACAGATTCTGTGGTGCATTTACTGCCAGTGGAGCTGGGAATTATAAAAATTGATATAACAAAACATTGAAAAACATCCAGAAATTAGATAGGTAAAACTAGCTGAAAAATTAGATGAATTGTTGACTCAATTCTTTTTTTAAGCTGAAAATATTTGATTCAAGGAATTATATGCAATAAACAGGAGGAAGAATATGCTTCATTATTTGCAAAAATATAGATAGAACATGATATTTTATTTTATTTTGTCATATTTGATTTAGTTTGTTCTCATCTTCTAAAATTACAAGAGATTTCCTAAATGATTGCATTGCATATACAGTGCAATACGACAGAAATGTTCAACATTAACAAATTGACAATGTAGGCCATCTATGTACAACATATATATTGTATACCCAGCACCAAAACAAACTGCAACTAAAAGTATAATATGCTAACTAAATACTATTACTATTAATCAATGTAAATGCAACTAGATAAAATAATCATACACTTTAATTTTGTTCCAAACCACCTATACCTCCAACCAGGCTACACTTACATCTAAGCTAACGATCGGAGGACTGCTTAGTGCTTTGTCTTATGGTCGTTTTTGCCATGACATTGCCATTTTTAGTTCTTTTTCGACAGAAGTGGGATAACGACTTGAAGAGTTTTGTTTCCCCTGTTTGTATCTTTCGCCTCTTCTAAGTTATATGAGTAAGACACAGTAAATCATCTTGTTCCATTATTAACCATGATTGGGGACCACTTTTGTGTTCCTATAACCCTGTAGGACCTGGTGAGATAATCATACTGGGTGTTTACGGACAGTTGGTTTATACTGAAATACTGAACCAACTCTAAAGGACATTTTTTATGCAGTGTAACCACCAGTAGAGATACATGTCCAGCTACAAGTTGTTTCTGATAAACAAGTGTACAAATAGGAATTTACATAAACATTTCCTAAATAACATGTCTTGTTATAACATTGTAGGATTCAAATCTATAAAGGGTAATAAGTAATGACAAAGTTCGCCCTTTGACCCACTAGGCCTCTATAAAGCCAATAGTCACTATTTTTGCCAAATAGGTAAAACTTATTCAATGTAAAAGGACACAAGAACTTGTGTTTGGGTAACTGACAATTCTTTCGAATTTGTATGTCATACTTGGGAAAACTACATCTACGAATTACATATTAGCACAAAAGATATTCTAACATTAATAAACAGTTGAAAATAAGTCACTAGTCTGTAATTGCTGTACCTATTTAAGCTAACATTGACTAGTCGCTACGTCCGCTGCATATAGGAATAACAACTAAAACAAAACTAACAGTATACACGTAGTACTAGCAGATTCTAAACAAACACAAAACCAACTAAAAAGTATTATTAATAGATTTTATTGAAATAAAAAAGGTAGCTGTAAAGCAACATTATACGGCTTAAAATAAATATGTATATCTTATTAGTATTTTTTTACTTTTAAATTTTACACTTCGTCATGGAAAACCATTATTAATCAACTAATTGAATAGGATTTACCTTTGCTGTGCTCCTGGCTGGGTCAATGTCAGCTTAACTTAAACCCTTTTAAGTGATTGGATTCATTTTTGTATCACAGGCATAGAGCTTGAGTTTCGAATATTTTTTTCATACAGGACTATCCAGTTTTAGGACCGTATCACTACTCTGTTGTTTATTTACAGCAAATTGATACGCGGAGTCGTTTTTGAACGTGCTAGCATACAAGCAAATACTTCATTTAATACTTAACAAAATACAGCAAATGCAAGTTGTAACAAGGTCTACATTCAAAACAGGCAAGTGATAGGTAGATTGCTTGTTGAAACTTTATATCCTTACAACTTCAGTTGGAAAGACAGACGTATACCAAAGATACAGCAAGATAATAATAAATAATTAATTTGATTGATTGATTGATTTTTTTATTTACACCAATTGACAAACGGTTCATGCATAGTCAGGTACATACAAACCAGAACATCCCCTAGTATATAAAACATATAACATACAGACAGACAGATAGACAGGAAAAACCCCATAGCGTAAGCACAGGTATAACCTTTATAAAAGCTAGTTAGAAAAGGCATGCATATATATTGACAAACAATATTCAAAACAGGTTTTCGTCCCTGCACCAAGGTTGTTTTCAAGCTGAGGTGACGTCATACTTACATCGAACTGTCAATGGTAAACTGACAGTCTGGGGACTATTAAGAGTTTGTGGATGGGAGACATCGCAGTATATCGTCTGCCCATTATGTCCCATGTTAAGTGCCTTGTTCAGTGTCCCTACTACCGTGTAGGATCTTGTATTGGAATTATATTGGGAGTTTATTGAGAGCTCGTTACTGCCGACATTCACGTTATTTATTCTCATAGACATGGTTTGGAGAGGAAATCCTCCGATAGAAGTACATGTCCAGGTACCAGTTGTTCCTGATATCAGTGATGTTGACCCAGTCAGTGTTGGCTGTGTTGGGGTTGCTGTAAAAGTGGAATCCTTTGTGATATTCAAAACTACATGTAATGCTTTTTACGCAAAACTTAATAAATTATGACGACAGTGATATGAAAAGAGCTAGAATTCAATGATGAAATGATCCAACTTCGTGCGAAATGTGCAAGATGTAGAATGTCGTATTTTTTTCCTATTGGTTATGATGTTTTGAAAGTGGCAAACAGGCTCGTACAGATAAATAGAAAACAGAAAAAAACATGATATCTATAGAAAGGTTTGTATATTATCAAAACAGCTGTGTTTCTCTTTCGGAAAGAATAAAATTTACATAATGTAAAATAGTGACGTTGTATGCTCTAATGGTTATGGATACTTGGTGTTTTGAAAGATTGCAGATAGAAGCCACATTAGCATCGTGTGTTTGTGGTCATTTAGATATCTATAGAAAACAGATCAAACGTTGACAGTGAAATAAGCTGCTTGTCTACTGGGATGGACTTTTGGTTAGACAGTTCAGGATGAGAAAGGACAAATAGAATACAACAAACCTTTAGGCGATACAGTAATGGTACTTGCATTTCTAGTAACACTACCGTCTGTTGCTGAACATATGTAATTGCCGGCATCACTTAGTTGTACGTTGCTGATGGTCAAGGAAGGAGTCTGAACACTTCCACCAGAATATTGATTATTAAACGATATTACAACAGGCTGATTGTTCTTGTACCAACTAATCCCAGTAGCAGTACCGGAAGTGACCTCACATGTTAGTTCGGCTGTCTGTCCAGTTGAAGGATCGTATAAGGTCTTTGGTGCGTTTACAGCCAGTGGAGCTGATAACAAACGTAAAGCCTTAATGAATGTATCTCTTCAACAAATGTTCACCACTATTTGTCGATTGGTTAAACACATAGAAGTTTGAAACGCGATATGTTGTATTAATGTGATAAATTCACAAGTTATGAAAGGAATGTTATACAAATAGAATACAAAATACGCCAAAAAGTAAATGGCAATTTAAAATAGAATGTTTTGTCTGAAAGGTGGTTCTTGACGCCACTTTTTTAAACATTATGTATTAATGACTTCGCTTACAAAAAGATATTGTAATTCAGATAAACATTTAAAATCGACAGTAACCTTTATGGAACTTTTAGCTATACAGTTCAAGAGTAGATACAAAAAACGTATATACACAAGTACATTTTTTTATAATGCAGCAAGAGTAAGCTAGCTTGAAAACATCATTATCTAATACTAATAGCTTATATTTGAAGCGAAAAATAGTGTCATGCAGAACAAGATAAGACAAAAAAGGCATGCCTTTCAAATTTATGTTATACTTCAAGAGTGCATTAAGTTAACACTCGTTTCCTTATTATCATGGAAAAGGTTTGGACTAGAGGTGCTAATACAATAACAACAAAAGTCAAATGTCGTCCGTGCAAGCATATATGCCGACAGAGAAGATCCCATACTTATTTTAATTTCTTAAATGAGGTATTCACTATTCAAGAAATGTCTACACTTAATCAACAATAACAGCTAGGTTATTTTTTTTTTATCTCGACTCCGTAATAAAATAAGGCAACGGTGAACTGTATAAAGTAGCTGTTTAAATGGACCATGACAAGATACGCACACATATACTTGAAGCTAGGTAAAAATAAAGTTAATTGCATGCAGCAGATAACTGGAGAAAACCGAATAAGAAAACATAGCATGCAACTTCACAACAACAGACACAAAAATCACAATAAAAACAGAAGTACAACTAAGAGCAGGAGTCAACATGCACATTCATTATCAGAAATGCTACCTCTCAATGACATGCAACAGTTATTTGATATGTCATGCGCTATTATCATATTTTACCAAACACCAACGTTATATGTTCCAAGCTGAAGTCACATACTTACATCGAACTGTCAATGGTAAGCTGACAGTCTGGGGACTATTAAGAGTTTGTGGATGGGTGACATCACAATACATCGTCTGCCCATTATGTCCCATGTTTGGTGCCCAATTTAGTGTCCCTACAACTCTGTATGACCTTGCGTTAGTATCATACTGGGAGGTAACAGAAAGATAGTTACTGGTGAAAACTTGGTTATTTATTCTCATAGACATGGTTTGGAGAGGAAACCCTCCAATAGATGTACATGTCCAAGTACCAGTTGTTCCTGATAGCAATGATGTTGACCCGGTCAGTGTTGGCTGTGTTGGGGTTGCTGTAAAAGTTGGAATCCTTTATGTCAGAGCTTATGATTTTCATGCGAAAAAAGATGTATGAGATTGAAGATTTCGCGTCATTAAAAGTCTTACTAAGTTAGAAATATAGTTTAAACCACTGATTATTCTATTGACAGAATTTAAATAAAATTACCTATAAACTTCGAACGAAATGTGTAAGATTGAGAATGTTGAGGTTATTGTTTTATTGGGTGCATGTTGTATTTTTGAAAAAAAACAATGCAGGATGAAAGAACAAGTTAAAAGAAATGAATGCGACATACTCTGCTTTATCGTGGGCGTGTTATTTTCAAAAGAGTGCAAGTTCACATACTGCATATGAAATAAGGGTTGAACTTTGAGGTGGTTTAAAGTTAGCATAGTACAGACTAAAGGTGAAGGTCATGTCAGCGATCTACTTGAAAGTCTGCAGATTGCGAATCAAACATTGACATTGAAATAAGCCGTTCCTTTACAGGTGGGGCTCTCTTTGGTTAGCAAGAGCTATACAAAACAGAATACAACAAACCTTTGGGCGATACAGTGATAGTGTTTGTGTTGACAGTTACACTGCCATCTGTTGCTGAACATACGTAATTGCCGGCATCACTAAGTTGTACGTTGCTGATGGTCAAAGAAGGCGTCTGGACACTTCCAGCAGAATATCGATTATTAAAAGATATTATAACAGGTTGATTGTTCTTGTACCAAGTAATCCCAGTAGCAGAACCGGAAGTGACCACACATGTAAGTTCAATGGTCTGTCCAGTGGAAGGATCGTATAAGGTCTTGGGTGCGTTTACTGCCAATGGAGCTGACAACAAATGTTAAACCTTAATGAAAGCATCTATTGTAAACAAGATTTTTTTTTCACTTTCACTTGCCAACATGTTTGATCTTTCACATGTCCTTTTAATGGGACAAATTCACAAATAAGGAATGAAATGGGTCATACGCCAAAACGACGGCAATTAAAATAGTATTTAACGTCTGAAAGACGGTGATTGTCGACCACATGTGTCTTCTACAGTTTAAAATTAATTACTTCGTATACAAATTATTTTGCTCTACACAATTCAAAACACGTTTGAAATCGACTTTTATCTTTATGCACCTAGTAGCTAACAAAATCAAGTAAATGCATTTTTTTTAAAGACAACTTAAAATTCTATAACGCTGAATTAGCATATTTATAGCATTGAAAACTAATATGAAGAGTAAATATTTCTGTCTAACTAAGATTAATTGTTTATATTTTAATTAAAAAATTGGCATGCAGGAAAAGATATGAAACATGCATGCCTTTCACTTCTTTTCTTTTCTATCCAGAGTGCCTGAGGTTAAATATAGTTTTCTACATTAGAAAATGCCTGTACCAAGTCAGGAATATGACAGTTGTTTTCCATTCGTTTGATGTGTTTGAGTTTTTGATATTGCCATTTGATAAGAGACTTTCTGTTTTGAATTTTCCTTTCGAGTTCGGTACTTTTATTTTATTTTTTGTTTACTTATTATATAAAGGGCGAGTTTTTGACGGCAGAGTGCGGGATGGGTCTATACTTCTGAAATTTATATACAAAAACAATTAAAAGGAAAGGATTTTCAGTTGAAAATTTAGCCTAATTTAGCCTATCATAAATTGATTTCACCTCACTATATAATAAAATAATTTGGCGATATGTTCACGTCTGGTCACTTTAACTCCCACCTAGCTGAAAGTGAATTTATGTCACAGTGACGGACTGTCCAGTTTTAATGTCGTGTATCAATAGTTAAACTCATAAAGCAGCAGATCATCTTATTCCATTGACTTTTAATGTTATACATTTAGACATTATGCATTATTAGATTTGAAAAGACGTAAATGTTAGCGCCAGCGAGACAGAAACGCGATAACATTCTGTATCGGTGTTCTCACCGTCTGTGTCACTCTGCCCAACCCTTCATAAAATTGCATATCACGGCTTCATGACGTCAAATACGTCAACCCGGCCTCAATATATTTGACCCGGACATATCACCGACGTCATAATGAATGAACCGATATTGAAAACTTTGACCCGAACTCAAGTCATCTTTCGGTTTGCTGGTGAAACACAGAAAAACACATGTTTCTATTATGCAAAATACACAAATACAATCCGATTATCAGATTTTCATTATATTTATATTGTAAATTATCAATATGCAGACAACCTGATAATCGGTACTTAGTCCAATGCTCGTCACATTAGTATGCATGACGAGACATGATACATTTCTCGCACTATTCTTTCAGATATACTTTATTGAAGAAGTGTGTTCATTTATGAATCCTCATAAACAAAAAAAAAATATTTTATATTGATCCCACAAGATAAAGCAACTTTCAATTAGCTGTTGAAATGGACCACGACGATAAAACGCATACTTTAAACTAGGTTAATATAAAGCTAGTAGCAAGCAGCGAAAAAACAGAAGCAGAAAAACCAGTAAATACAATACATGACTAACATATGAAACAAAGCAGAACACACAATAGAAGCAGAGGCACAACTAATTCAATGAGACTAAGAGTTAACATGCAAAAACTCATGCAAAAGAAGTTTTATTTGTCATGCACTGAATTATATTTTAATGCAAACGATGGTTATGTGTAGGCTTTCCCCATGCAACACCAACTTTTTGTTTGCTCTATCTAAAGTGACGTCATACTTACATCTTACTGTCAACGGTAAGCTGACAGTCTGGGGACTAGTAAGAGTTTGAGGATGGGTAACATCACAATACATCGTCTGCCCATTATGTCCCATATTTGGTGCCCAATTTAGTGTCCCTACAACTCTGTAGGATCTCGAGTTGGTATCATACTGGGAGTTTATCGAAAGAAAGTTACTGGCGAAAACCTGGTTATTTATTCTCATAGACATGGTTTGGAGAGGAAACCCTCCGATAGAAGTACATGTCCAGGTACCAGTTGATCCTGATAGCAGAGATGATGGACCATTCAGTGTTGGCTGTGTTGGGGTTGCTGTAAAAGTTGGAATCCTTTATGACTGTCAGAGCATAAGATTTTCATGAGGAAAAAAAGCATTTAAAGAGTTACTATTAAGAAATATCTACTTGCAGCTACTACATAATTCTACAATCAACTATATTTCAATAAGCAACAGAATTTAAGCCAAACGTTATGAACTTCGTATCCAATTAATGTGAAAAGTTGGTAGGAATATTGCTCTATCGGGTGCATGTTGTATTTTGAAATGAAACCAAGCAGGATGTTAGAAAACTTTTACAATGACAGACAAACATTTATAGAATGCATCTAAATGTGAAATTAGCTGCTTTTCTTGTAATCGTATCAATGTATGAGTACAAGTTCACAGATTGCAGATAAATATTTGGGAGAAGCGTTTAATGATTTTTTACAGGATATACAAAAGGTGAAGATTATTTCAGCATCTCTTGTTTGTGGTCTTTTGAAAGTCTACAGATTGCAAATCAAACATTGACAGTGAAAAGCTGGTCTTCTACAAGTCGTGACCTCTTTGGTAAGCAAGGACAAATAGAATACAACAAACCTTTGGGCGATACAGTGATGGTACTTGTATTTCTAGTAACACTACCGTCTGTTGCTGAACATATGTAATTGCCGGCATCACTTAGTTGTACGTTACTGATGGTCAGGGAAGGAGACTGGGCACTTCCACCAGAATAGCGATTATTAAAAGCTAGTACAACTAGCTGATTGTTCTTGTACCAACTAATTCCAGTAGCAGTACCGGAAGTGACTCTACATGTTAGTTCAATGGTCTGTCCAGTTGTAGGATCATATAAAGTCCTTGGTGCATTTACCGCCAATGGAGCTGAGAATAAATTAGCAGACATAGTAATTGAATGGGCAAGAACTCTTTTCCGTAGAGTTACCTTGTTGTGGTCACTTTAAAAACAAGGAACTCTGCATTTGTTATTTCAGTCACTTACTTGCGACAAATGCAATGCCTTAAGATATGTGCATGTAAATGGACTTTGCTTAAAAGTAGGAAATCTTTAAATAGGATAACATCTGTATTAAAGAAATGTCAATTATTCAAACGGCGTTGTTAACACCCGAGAGTACGGTAATAAAAATAAAGTTAACGTTGAATTTCTAGAGACCAATTATTTAAATCTAAAATGGTCAAATGATTTTTAAAAGTCATAATGATATAGGTTAATATGATATGTAAATGTTGTTTTTAGATCAAACTGAAGATAAGTTTTGACAAGTACGTGAATTGGAGAACAAACATTATATAACATCGTACAAGTTATTGTAAGTGTGAACGTTAACCAAATAACGATAAATGATAATGATTATGTGAATAACCAGAAAAAAAGAACGATAATTTTAGGACGAATTCTTTCATTACATGAAGTGTATGTGTGGGAAAGATCACTATTCAAGTGTGCAATTATTAATCTTTGAGATACATGTTTAATGTTAATTTGAATTAACCGAATCAGCTATTCTTTTGTAATAAGTCAAGTCAAGTGGCATTCTCCAGCTAAAGGTGCAAGTTGACATGGTTCAAAAGATAACATTCAAAATCAAATGTGTAACTCTATGTCAGCCTTCTCATTTTTGCCGTAACCTTTATTGACCTTTGAAATATTGATTTCATTATGATAGTAGCAATTTTAGTCTATATTATCGTATGAAAGCATTCTTATGAATGTGCATAATGCCAATTAATACTGCATATCCTGCACATGCTGTCACTCAGTTAGGCTACCTCACATGGTCCGAGGGCCAATGTGAACTTTTCTCATCACTTTGCGAGCATTCATCGATGTATTTCTACAAATTAACCAAGTTTCTATACATATAACTCCCTGTACAAACCATCCCGATCGAACTCTGTATATTCAATATAATGGACATAATTGACCAGTTATTCATTAGCATTTCATGTAAATTAAGTCACTAAAAAAATGAAATAGTACATGTATATATTCAATCAATCCTACAACCCGATGTTGACATGCGTATTTTTAGGATTTTAAATTAATATATTCAAATATTTGGATTTCTACAGGCAATTTAACATCCAAATAGTTATTAAGCTTTATGGATTTTTTCTAGCACTTATAGTAACTTGAATACGAGTGTTTGTTGGTAAATATTCCATGTTTAATCAGAATAAGAACGAATTGACAACAAAGTCTGTTATGTCGGTCAACAGAGAATTTTGGAAGTTTCATTAACAAATTCTTTCGCTTTACGACAATAGATTATTTTTATATTGACCTAATGAAATGACACTAATATAATCATTTTGGTATCCGCCATTTTATAAAAAGATAGAATTTACAACTAGTTCGTTCATGGCAGCGGCTATAAATGAACGGTTTTGTATATTATAGTCCCTCTCAGTTATAATACGTTTAAACTATACAGAGTACAGCGGGAACCCCAGCGGGAACCCCTTTCACGTGTTTCTGAATGTGTTTTGAAAGGTTCTATCTTCATTTTCTGAGCTCAAATGGTTGCAACTGACATATTGGTGATATAATAATAGTTGCTGAACTATATTATGACAATGCCCAAATATCAAGAAAAAGTAAAGCTTGGAGATCGATGGCGTGCGCTACTTTCTATTGGGTCTTTAAAATCTAACTGAGGTTTAGGGGCTTTGTAATGTCATTCACAATTACAGTGCAAGCTTTAAATACCTTCCTACAAAACCAGACTACCGATTCATTCAGATTGGTCTTTTTATAGGACACTTCTGTGAAGCGGCAGTGTGTTATAATTCAACAAGAAAATTTGTAAGTAGAAAAATGACGTTTGAGCAGCGATGATAACATCTAGATGCTGGTAAAGGTTTAAATGCTAGTAAAGGTAAACACTATCTACTTGTATTCACCACAAATACGTTCAACGGAAAATATGGAAGGTACGAACCTCATCGGATCATATTTAAACCATGAAAATTAATGCTAGTATATTTTAACATATGTGCATTAAATCGGTATTTTCCATATTGTAAAATTCTGCAGTGAATTATCACGATGTCTAACACTGTATGGCAAATTTGATTTAAAAGATTAAATAGTTGTACCTTATTAACTACAACTATTTCTTTATTAAATCACAGATGAACAATTTTGACGCCTTTGATAAAATTTAATCAACCAAACTGATGGATGGCGTGATTATATTGTCATGCAATAGCCTTGGTTAAATAGTTATACTATGTGTATTAAATCTATCTCAATAAAGGGTCAGATCTGGAAAGTCGCTATTTCGGGACCAGCGTTCAACGGATCATATTTTCATTTCGGATCGTATTTTTTTAAAGCCCTCTTCTCTCTCCTATTGACATAGATCTTTTTGTGACCTCTAATGTCCATTTAGGATAACAACTTGTTTCATTGTAATCTCGCTGACGTTTCTTTTTTTTTACTGAGTTTTAATTTATTGGTTTAAAGGAAATAATGACGAAATACTGAGGGATAAGAAACCTGGTATAACCTGTGTTGTAAGGTTGCTGTCTTATTGACGTTTTTCGTTTTTCCCCATTTTTCTATTTTTAATCAAAAACGGGCGGAAAACACAAAAAGTGTCGAAACAATTTTGAACTTTTCCTTTTATATTGATTAAAATCAGATGTTTCTTAATTTGCCAACCTTCAAAAATGCCAAAAAATGAAAAGAAGCGAGAAAAAATAATTTGAAATAAGAATGTCAGTTTAGTTTAACTATAACCTCTTTTGGAATGACAACAACTTAAGTCTCAATTTAAGCGTTTTAACAGCTAGTTATTTAACAAAAACTTTTTGGTTTTAAACTCATATCACCAATTACATTATTTGGTCTATTGTTAAAAAACGAATCATTTACATCAGAAAAGTGTAATTGCACGATTTGGATTAGTTTTGTCGAACGTACATGTAGAGAAAACATCAGATGCGTTCAAATATCCATAAATTACGAAGTTCACGGAAATTTAAAACCTGCCTAAAACTTTGGAATTTACTTAGAAAATAACTAATCGACGATTTTCTAAATATCCAAATAAAGATGAAGCATATAAATTAAAAGGTCATTATTCTGAAATCCCTTAATATCTGATCATACTGACTTTCAATACTATACTAGTATGCTAATTATATGGAACGGTTATAGATCTTGAAAAAATACCACGGGACGTAGTATTCACATTATGTATGGTTTTATATTTGCAAAATTGTTGCAAAATACTAATATTCAAATAACCAAACGAATATATCATATGTTAGAAGTGATAAGATTTCATTAACGAGATATAAATGAAATTCATTAAATATTGATATTCATACTCGTATACTGAATATGTGAATGAGCTGTTAATTAAACTTTCTACAAACGGAATAGAAATGAATAGAAACAAAATTATCCTGAGTATTTATTAGCAGAATAATATATTTCAACAAGTTAAACAATAAATTAATTTCAAAACAAAATATATAATCAAAAAGTAAGTTACCAAATATAGAAATATATATTCCTGATAAACATAACAAAACATATAAATATAGTATGAATAAATGTAACCTTTGAATAATTTGCTCCTTAATGCTGAAGATCTCCATTTTGATTTTGTTGATAAATTCGAAATACTAAATAATTATCAACCTTTGATAAATATAAATTATATTGTTACCAATATAAAAACATTAAGGCATTATCATTTTTTCTCTTGTAAACGTTTTTTCTCTCCAATATAAAGTAAAGAATTGCTTGTGATTATTCATTGACATGAACTGGAGATCAAGCTTAACAGTGTTTCATTGAATGTATAATTTAAACACAAGTTGGACTTTGATTGAGATTTCTACAAAATGACCTTCGTCGTCGCAGTACAAATGTATATTTAAGTTCCGGGTAGGTTCCATCTCGGCAAGGATAGGTCATTTCACGTCTTACGGCACATCTACTGACGATTTCGTAATGATCGTGCTCAAGGTATATAGACATGTCAATAGATGGATCCGATATTAAGCCAGGAAAATGCTTATCTAGCATGACTTTGTCATAAGACCAAGACAGGAAGCGGAAGTCACATTCATACACTTCTCCTGATTTCTCCTCGCAATTTGTTGCTGTGATGGGTCCTTGAGGGCAGTATACAACGGTCCCGTCTTTAGTTACGATAACCTTGGCTTCGAAATCCGGTACGTATTTCCTGAAATGAAAAGAGTGTTTGTAGATAAACTGTTGACAGAGATATGTCTCGCCTATCGGCATAAAATTCAGAAAAAGACAATATGATAGACTGCGACATTGCTTATTAATTCAGTCATTGGACCATGATCTAGTTGGCCGCAGGGCCTGAAAATGGTCGACTGACTGAGACGTACATACAGTAATGCAACTTTATAGAAAATATCGTTGTTTATTGCAAGTAGTTCCTATCAATATAACTTATTCATAAAAACTTAACATTGAAAATTGCTAATTAATTCAAAGTCTCTGGACCATGTCCTAGGGGGCAGGGCCTCAAACTAGTCAAACTGACATGAACTGATAGTAATGCAACTTCATACAAAATATCATCGATCTAACACAAGTATATCCATTCAAACTAACTTGAGCAGAAAACTTAACAATTGTTGATGCCATCGTTTACTTTCGGCTCAAATGCCCATCACAGATTTGTTATTTTCAATCTTAAAATATCCTACAATTCAAATACTTCTGATCTCTAAAATATCTAAATACACTTACTGTCCAAACAGTACAACATCCGGTAACCAGATGACAGATGAAGGGAGACTGATTCGGGGTTGTCCCTTAGGCCAGGTCAATCGTGGGTCATTCCAGCTCATACACTGCATTGCTTGAAGAACGAACTTCTTGCCACCATCCTGAAAATATTTAAAACAAAATCTTACAATATTTACCAATACACAGTTTAATATTCATCATCAAAACATCCCATGATCGCCGATTGGTTTGGGATTGAAAGTTTATAACGGTAATAATAGAGTTTTACAATTTACGTATTAACAAGTTTACTTGGTCGTTAACATAAATGTGAACATCTTAAAAGATTTGGTTGTCATATGAGCTAAAATACCCTCCGGAAAATAGAAAATGGGACATAACTGTCGACAGAAATGTATCTTACATCAACAAGGTTAACGATACTGTGGTTTACTAAAACCCTTCTACCAAATTCGTCAAAAGTTTTTTCTTCTTTTTTATGGTTCTTAATAATGTGTTGAGACCCAAAAGATTTTATTTTAACAGAATTATTTAAAACCCAGAATGATGAACATAATGGAGAAATAATGGATAGAACTATGACCGACACGAGAATCGATCATTTGCTAATTTGGAGCTAACCACACGGCATAAAATAACGGTATAGTTCGTGTAAAAAATCACGAATCGTTCTGATCGTAGAAACATACCACAAAAACATAATAGACAATCCATGATCAAAGCATTGCAGTTTTGTTAGGTCGTGGTCTCATTGGTTTAAGAATACAATTTCATTCGTTTTCAAGTTAAATGATCACTACCTGGCTTGAATAGAACTTATCGATATTTATTCCAATTTAGAAAAGTTCAGAAAATACACTTTTTCGTGACGTCACAAACCAGCTGAAGCTAACTAGAAACATGTTTAAACAATGCATTGTGCATAAAACTGTTCAAGAAACATGTTTAAACCATAGTTAACATTTTAAAAACAAAGCATTATGATGTATTTGCCTATAAAAAATGGGTTCACAATTAATCGTAATTTCAATTTTTTCCCTTCAACTTTTTTTCTTTTTCAGCTCAATACTAATGACATTTGTTTCTATTGACAACACCTTATCCCAACAGGAAGTAGCCTTTTCTCGGTTTGGACTAAATATCAATAAGGTCATGGAGATATGTATCAGAAGATGTACTTGTGCAAAAGCCTTTGAATTTCAAATCTTATTAAAGTTTGCAGTGGCAATTAAGAACCAATTTATATGGTTTATATTTATCATCCGATGATCGCCCAAAAATGTTGCATAAGAAAATTTACAAAGCTTTAATACATTTGAATTTAGCTTTTTACATAACAGGAAGTCATTAAATAGTCGTAAAAGTCTAAACCAAATTGAATCACCGACAAAGTATCAAAAATAAATTTAAACTCATATTTGAATGATGTAAAAAAATAGAAAGTAAATATTAAATATGCATGTTTTTTTCTTTCTGTAAATTTGCAGTGAAAACTAAATACAACTTTTATAATTTAAATATTTAATAAAGAGTGCGGCTGATTACAGAATAAAATAATTAGCAATGAACGTAATTATTTAAACAATTTCATCAACAAGCAAAAACAAGAAAAAAAAATGTTTGTTCAATTTTAGTGGGAAAATAGTTTTGTATGTACACTTCAGGTGCAGATTACGAATTTTTTGTAAAAGTAGTCTAAGCGGTAGGCGTTGGTAAAGGCTTAATACGGTCAGTGACTATATCGCATACATTTATACAGTCGACACATTTTGTAAGCGCAAACAGAACTTTCCCAGTGAAAATGTCGGTAGACGTACAGGTAGGTGGTACAAATGTACCCTTTTTAAATGTTTTATAAACTTGCATCGGAGTAAAACGAACTTGGTGTACAAAGATATATAAATAAAATTGAACTGATTGGCATCATAAAATGCACGAGGCCGTGACACATAATAAATGGAGTTTGTGTCCCGATCAACCATTAAATTACTTGTAAATGGTCTTGTTCGAAATTTTATTACTAATATAACATTTGCCCCAATCGGTCTCAAAAACATTCAAAATTCTCATTTTGTACAAAAAGTACATTTCCCCCTATACACATTTAATATCAAATGAAACAGAAAAAAAAGCCAAACATTTGTTTTTAATTCTATGTAAGGCGATTTGATATAACTGACCATGAAACAACTATCAAACAGGCACCGAATGACAAAAAGTAAATACACAGCGACCATCCTCCAAATTGCATCTAAAGAGCATTTTCTTATACATCGACAATCCATCGACAAGCCTCAAAACAAAACACTGCTACAACCCTACAAAGACCTTTAGCAATACACATTTACAACCACGGCCTTTCACAATGAATAAAAACCACCATCTGGGCTTCACATTATACATATACAGGCCATCGTAGAGCTTTCCAAATAATACAACTACAGACCATCGTAGAGCTTTGCAAATTCTACAACTACAGGCCATCGTAGAGCTTTCCAAATAATACAATTACAGGCCATCGTAGAGCTTTCCAAATTCTACAACTACAGGTCATCGTAGAGCTTTTCAAATTATACAAATACAGGCCATCCTAGAGCTTAGTATACATTATAAAACTATCAACCATCGTCGAGTTTTCCACATTACACACCTACAGGACACCGTGTTGGCTTCACATTATACAACAGTCAAACCATTGTAGAGCTTTCCACATTACAAGACACCATACAGCCTTCGACTATGAGCAAACCAATACTATAAAAGTATTCAACTTTCAAAAGACTTCGAAAATTTTGAGATTTCAAAAGGAACAAGACGCTGCAAAATGTAAATAACAAAGAGACTAAGAAACAATTATAAAAAAATATAAAAATGACGAAAACTAGTTAACTCATAGTTAAGGCACAGTTCAGTGCAAGATGTTAACATGTTTTTGGCAGAAAAGTGAAACTTTAGAATTCATCTTTAAAGAATTTTTATAATTTGCTGCTATCTAAACATAATTACTTACGAATTCAAATATCTCTCTTGGTATAAGAGAATGTGTGACGTTGACGACTGGATCTCTTGGGCGAACAAGTTTGTTGTAGCCATCAAGGACATACGTAATGATGTCGTATTCTAACCATGGTCTTTCTGTAAGGGGTAAACATCAAATACAATATTCGAAATAAATTGTTAATAAAGACTAATTTGTGTATGCGTATTTATCAAAATAATCAAAATAATTTTAATACTGAAATTACAGATACTGAACTTGATAAAACAAAATAAGCTACAAAATTACAGAAATGATTAATTTGAAAGATTTAAAATAATGGTACAAGAAAACTTTTTTTTTTAATTTGATAGTTTTAAAATGACAAACATTGATGGATTAACTTACCTCTGACAGATACAAGTATTGAATTTGTTCTGACTGTAGCAGATCCATCCGTGGCTTCACATATATAATTACCACCATCTGCAAGTTCTACGTCAGTCATTGTCAATGATGGAGAGTTAGGTAAACCTCCAGAAAATCTTTGATTGGCGCCCACAGTAATGCGATTATTGTTTTTGTACCAGTTGATTCCTGTCGCTGTTCCGGTAGTGACAATACAGTTTAATGTAACATCTTCCTCCTCTTCAGGATTGTAGAATGTTGTAGGTGCGGTTACTGCCAAGGGAGCTGTAAATAAGCGCGTCGAACATCAAAATGAATATTCTGACAATTGGTCTTCGATTTAAATCTGTTGTGCAGTTTAATCCAAAATTATCTTTAGGTAAACGAAAAAGTTCCCATAGAATATTTATTTCCGTTTTGTACACAGGACGGGAAAACTGACTTGATTGTTAAATAAGTCGCGTAATTAACGCGTCTTGACATAGAATGGTTCTGCGGACTTTTAATTTGTTTTGGTTTTGCAAATATCACCGGTAGCGTAGTGACCCGGATGACGAGATAAACCCAGACTGGAATAAACGCACCAATTAGCCAAATATATTTATTGAAATAAACAAGTGTATTGCCTATATTGGTGTTATACTAATTTGAACACTACGCTACATCTGGTAAATAGTGCATATTGTATGTAACAATCAATTTATTTATAACTAGTGGCTGAAATTATATTTATCTATTGTAACTACCGCTGGGGTTATGACAAGACGGGGAAAGAGGGTTATTGTATTGTTGTTAATATTATTGGGAGAAAAAACATTCTTTCTGTAATGTCCCAGTTCCTCTTTTGAAAATCCAAAACATCACTTTGTATAAAATATCGATGTTAAATCAAGAGACATGTATTAAACAAGTTCCAGTCAGTTATGAACGAAAATTAAAATCAATCTGTTCATCATTTCTGTTTATCAAAAAAAGAAGCCATGTCGAATGTTTGGATTATCCACAGCTCTCATGGATTGAGTTTGGATTATCCACAGCTCTCATGGATTGATATATGGAAAAACACTTAAGTTCAAATGTAAAAGACCTTATGAAGGTAAAAATCTTATTTTAGTTGAAAGGGATTATCGAGCACAGCAAATCGGCACCCACTGTGTGGTGCCTTGTCAGTTTTATGTAGTGAGAAGTACGTGGAGATTTTGATATTTAAAAGCCATTTCTATCTTTTTTTATGTAAACGTTGCATTCCTTTAATATTAATTTGGTCGTAAAATGATTTATTACAAAGTTCGTAAAAAAACAAAATTAATGAAGACTTCCATTCATAAATTGAAAAAAAAATTAAATAGTGCCTTTATAAATATTAGTTTTAGGGTTACAACAATAGAGAAATGAAGAATTTCATAATATATAGAGTAAATGGTGATAGGATATATTTTTCCCAATGAAATAAATAAAAAAAAATAGTACAATAGTGCATCAAGTGCTAGGTACTTACATCTAACTGTTAATGGTAAGCTGACTGTCTGTGGAGATTGCAGTGTTTGTGGGTGTGTTACGTCACAGAAGAGCGTCTGTCCATTGTTTCCCATATTAAGTGCCTTGTTCAGTGTTCCCACTACTGTGTAGGTCCTCAAGTTTGAATTATATTGGGAGTTTATGGAAAGTTCATTACTGTTGACAACCACATTGTTAATTCTCATAGACATGGTTTGGAGAGGAAAGCCTCCGATAGAAGTACACGTCCAGGTACCAGTAGAGCCGGCTGTCATTGACGTTGGACCAACCAGGGTTGGCTGTGTTGGAGTTGCTATTTAAAAAAAAAATATGCACTGGTAACAAATTATGCAATAAATTATGTTATAACTTGTAATATCTACTTTGAACTTTTGATTTTTTCCACGGACACGCTTAAACAAAATGCAGTTAAAAAAGTAAAAAATAATAATAAAAAAAAAAAAATCATGTGTATCAGAAGATGTACTGCGAGCTTTTCTCACTAATGTCACCACCGCTACAGGTATTCAGTAAACAGGAAGTTGATGGGAGATGAATTTGAAAACGCATCACACTTTAATGCAGGATCAACATGAAACTCTATACCAAATTTGAGTAAGATCCAATTCGAAGTTCCTGAGAAAAAAATGCAAGAAAAATTATCATGGTCATTATGTGTAAGAATAAATAAGAGTTCGGTAAAACAGGAAGTTGATGACCGATGGATATGAAAACTTAGTTAAGCATGCTCTCATGTAATTGATACTAAATATCAGGAAGCTCCCGAGTTGTAGCTTCTGTGAACAATGCGTCGAAAATATCAGGGGCGGACGATAAGAGGTAAACCGGTATATCTCCTCCTGTGAACGGATGTACACCAGCAATAATGAATGAAGGAATGAGCATCAGAGGTAAACCGGAATATCTACTCCTGTGAACGGGTATAAACCAGTAATAATGAATGAAGGATTGAGCAAGGCATTTTTAAAGATTATCTTGTGTAATTAAAAAGATGGTATCGAATTTTAGAACAACTCTTTTAAAGAAAATACCTAGCTTTCTAGCTTTGAGGAATGTTTGACTTCCCTGCAAAAACAGCCATATGATGTTGGACAAGTATTAAAAAGTTAATAAATGGCCACTAGATTTTTTATCTTGCCTAAAATAGGACCATTGATTTAATATTCAAATACTTTCAATTTACGACGAAAATGTACATTAAAATAAATCACTGAGTACAAACCTCTTGGTGATACAGTAATGGTACTTGTGTTTCTCGTTGCAGATCCATCGGTTGCTGAACATATGTAATTGCCAGTATCACTTGTTTGTACGTTGCTGATTGTCATTGAAGGTGCTCCAGGACTGGCGCCAGATAATCTTGAATTAGCAGCAAGGTTTAATAGTTGGTTGTCTTTGTACCATGTGATTGATGTGGCCGTTCCAGATGTCACCTGACATGTCAAGGTAATAGTCTGACCGGTTGTAGGTTCGTACAGAGTTCTTGGTGCATTGACTGCCAATGGAGCTGAAAAAGAAAACAATAAACATAAAACGAGGTTCAATCTGCACACACAGGTAAAATGAAAAGGTAGTCAACATTGGTAACTTAGACATATTTTATTGTCAAACAAGAAAATAAAAATGGATAGGATAAGTTTTAAGCTTACAAGGTATTTCCCAATACAATATAATCGATGCATAAGGCTGTATAGGAGACAGAATATATGAAGGTTAAAAGAAAATGAAAAACACATCACACATCGCGCTTGAGATATGAAGCAGTTTGCTGTTGTTTGAGGAAAAGTAATAGTGAGAGAAGATTTAGCCAAATATCTTTATCTGAAAGTATACAAATGTGTACTGATCTAAATAATACACAATTGACGTCAAATACCACATCAGTACCACAAAAAAGAATATTGTTAAAAGTTTAATTCGACAATAATATCGTTTATAGTTTGGAAAAGTTGAGTAATCTGTAAACATGAGAAAGAAAAAGGATATAACAAATCACTGGATCCCATAAAATAAGGCAAGTCACTCACTGACTGAGCCCATAAAATACAGCAATTCACTCACTGGCCGAATCCCATAAAATAGAGCAAGTCACTCACTGACTGAGCCCCATAAAATAAAGCAGTCACTCACTGACTGAATCCCATAAAAAAAAGCAGTCACTCACTGACTGAATCCCATAAAATAAAGCAAATCACTCACTGACTGAACCCTATAGAATAAAGTAAGTCACTCACTGACTGAATTCCATAAAAAAAAAGCAAGTTACATTTTTGTACTCACTGACTGAATCCCATAAAATAAAGCAAGTCACTCACTGACTGAACCCCATACAATAAAGCAAATCACTCAATGACGGAATCCCATAAAATAAAGCAAGTCACATACTGACTGAATCCCAAAAAAAAAACAGTCACTCACTGACTGAATCCCATAATAAAGCAAGTCACTCACTGACTGAACCCCATAAAATAAAGCAAGTCACTCCCTGACTGATCCCCATAAAATTAAGCAAGTCACTCACTGACTGAAGTGAGTGACTGAACCCCATAAAATAAAATTATCATTGATTTTCGCAACAGCTGATGTTATATGTTCGTACTACTCATTTTGCAGTGTTATATTTGATTTGTATTTCACATTTCAGCTCATTTGTATATTTAAAAGAGAAAAGAAATCTAAGAGTTTGTATTGTCGAAAACGGAGAACAAATACAAAATTCATTAAACCTTGCAAAACTTCTCTAAACATGTTTTGTTGTCATATTAAATAAATGACAAATGATAAAACGCAAGTTGTTAACTTACGATGCCTTCAACAACATGGTCCTCCTACTCCCCCCTCCGGTGCATCAATTTTGTTTTTGTATTTCATGTTTCTTCAGTATATGAATTATAATAACCAGTTGGTACTTACATTTTACGGTAAGTAGCTTGCTAACTGTCTGTGGGTTGTTTTGTCCTAATGTTTCTGGGTGGTACACATCACAAAACAATGTCTGCCCATTATTCGCGGTTGTTGGGGCCCATGAAAGGGTTCCAGTTACGGTATAGGACTCGCTAACTAATGCCGAGTTTGTGGTAAGTTCGGTACTAAATACAGAATTTCCAATCCTCATTGCCATTGTCTGCAAAGGGTAGCCTCCCTCTGAAGTACAAGTCCATGTTGTCAATGTTCCTGGTTGTATATCGGTTGGACCTACTAAAACTGGCGTGATCGGTGGTCCTGTAAAAGACAATATTTACCACATGTCAAATGAACTCGAGTCATATTAATTGGCATAGCAACCGTTCAAACAAAACCCCACAAATACATTAACTGAAGCAAATACGAATAAAAAATGTATACTTACTAATTAGTCGTATTTGTATTACTTTTAGTTATTTTTAAATTCATAGCCACACCATGGTATATGGTTGATATTATTTCAACAAAGTAGTTAGCTAAATTATGATTTCTTGTCGCATAAATTCCTACAATTTCACTTTTGCAACTTGCAACAAATGTGTCAATGAAAGTCTAACATTTCTTAATTAATATAAATAAATTGTTGAGTAATCAAATGGTTTATCACATGACTTTAGTTGTCCTCAGACTGTTTTGACATCTGTTTAAAATAGTGTTCAAAATCCTTGTTTAAATATGATGGTAGGTCTAATTGAAATCTATTTCGTCAAAACAACGGTCTTTGGGGAAATGAAATTTTGAACAGATATATCATGTTATGGAGGGGTATTTGCGAAAAATACCAGTCAAGGGACTGTAAAATTTCCCGAGCCGCTAGGCGTCCCAAGACTGGTATTTTTCGCAAATACCCCTCCATAACATGGTATATCTGTTTAATTACACCGAATAGATTTGGATTGAAACTAATTGTTTATGCATAATTTTAAGGATAAGAGGATATTATCATAGAACCGCGGGAATTATACATGTACTAATGCTCGCTTTTTTTATGTAACGTCATATTCGAAAAATTTTGGCGGGAAAATGCTCGAGAGGGTAAAAAAGGAATATCCAAAATGGCAAATACCATGGTATTTGAGGCAAATTCACCGGCAGTGGTGAAAAACAGGCAAATTCGTTTGAAATAGGAAAATATATTAGAATATGCGAAAAATACACTAGATATCAACCAATCAAAATCTGGCTTTCTTATATAAGGTGTAATTAACAGTAAAATGCCTCGGACCCATTGTACAGATCAGAACCTCTGCCTCAGGCCTACAGTAAAATACCTTGGACCAATGATACCGATCAGATTTTGAACAGATATATCATGTTAAGGAGGGGTATTTGCGAAAAATACCAGTCGAGAGAATGTTAAATTTGCGAGCCGTAAGGCGAGGGAAATTCTTCTCAAGACTGGTATTTTTCGCAAATTACAAAATACCTCAGACCCATAATACAGATCAGAATCTTAGGTCTTAAAACCTCATGATAGGAAAAATTTCTGAGGATGCACAATTTTTTTAAATTACACCTATGATAAACAAGTGTTTTACTGCATACTTACTGTACACCTCGACGAATTTAGTTCTGGATAGAGGATTCTGTAAAACACCATTTTCAGACTGACATTCGAACACTTCCAAATGTTCCCGACTAGAAGCTGTAAACGAATACGTGTTAACTACTTGATTTCCGGAAGTGGTTGACGAATCATCGATCACTGTGTCGTCTCTTAACCATTTAACCGTTGGTGTAGGGGAACCACCAATTACTGTACAGGTCAGAGTAACCTGATCATCTTTTATAATAACTTGTGGACCGGTAATCGATGGTGCACCTGGTGGAACTGAAATAAAAAGAAATTATTTATAATACTTCAAGCAATCGTATCTTGTGTTTTGTAATATGTAATAAACACGGTGTGTAAGGCCTGGACAAATTTTGTGTTTCCTACCTTATTTACTCTGTAAAAAAAATTTCCATCATGTTCTAGACGTTCTTGGTTAAACATCATTAAATAACGGAAAATTTAAAAGTGACGTCATCTGAATACTATGGACTTTAATGTGATACAAGATTTCAATGAACTTAAAGTCTGAACAACCAATGTGCCAAATTTCAGTGTAATGTGATGATTATTTGTGTTTAAAATCATGTTGATTATTTGAAGTAAACTATATTTTTTCAGATGTTGCGTTTCTTTTTGGGAGAGTACATAATTAAGCCTTATACTTAAATAAGAGGTGAGCGATATACGCACCTTGATGGCTATAATATTTTTCTATTCTTTTTTTATTTATATTACTGAAAGTTAGTTTGATAATTTTGACCTTGTCCCAGCATACATCAGGTTAAAATTCATTTCTATAGTTAAGTACAAATGTTGGGTAACAATATAGCCTTGACCTAAAACCAATTCATACCCATTCATAACGATTTTATCGTCTTTTTAAATAAAAATATAATAGGGTCATTTAAATACTCAATTGGACAGGTACATGTCAAATACTTACTTTGAGCTGCTGCTTGTATTATGAACATTGAAATTATGATGAAATAGCGGCTAGCCCGAGGGGCAAATCCGGATACTGTGGAATCCATCTTTGACTAGTCAGTGACCCTGAAAAATAATAAAAAAATATAAAAAAATTGGAAAAAGTATATATTCAAAGCCTTTTTGACCATGTATAAATGACAAGAAAGCACTCAATGTATGATTAAACAAACTCGTTATTATGTCAATGAATTTAAAAATAGGAAGATGTGGTATCATTGCCAATGAGACCAAACGACATAGAAATTAACAACTATAAGTCACCATACGGCCTTCAATAATGAACAAAACCCATACCGAAGGATATATTTCAATTACGAGTCCCCTAACCTTAGTACTAACGACTGATCCATCTTTCTACCGGTTTAGTGTTGATGGACCGAGAAAATATTTATTATTTTGCAATAAGTCTCCAAATCATCAACATTAGCTTTACAATCTCCTGGGTTGTTTCAACAATAAAAGTAAGTTTAATGGTTGTTTTTTTTCCTGCAATACTAAAGGACGACATCAAAAGTTCAATGTAGGATAAAAAACTTAATTTAATCACATAGTTTTTTCACTGACCCCCCCCCCCCCCCCCCTCTTAACTTAATTTGGGAAAAATTGATTCACCAATATGGATATATGTAAAATCGATTTTGGATAAACAAAACATGCAGCAGTTTTAACCCCCCCACCCCCAAACTATTTGATTTCAGTTTTTTATCCTAAATTGATCTTTTGATGTAGTCCCTTAAGAAAATTCTTCTTATTTCCTCAAAACAGGACCAACACAACCGGTTACAAAAAACATAATGTGCTAGTAATATATGTTGGTAAGATATAACTTAATAAATCTCATATTGCTTTCAAACTGGATGAAAGTAAATATGTACAGTGTATAAGTGTTTTGTCAATTGCAAGTTATGATAACAGACCGGACCGAATAAAACCGATAAATATTTCACAATTCAGTAAAATAACTATCAAAATCGGTATTAATTTAAAATTTATTTTTAAGTTGACTGCAATGTTTGCCCGTATATCTAGGTAATTCGAATAAAAGAATAATTTAAAAAGATTAACTATTTGCAGAATATTATTCGAACTTGTTGTTTTTTTAATTATCTATTACACTGCCTGTAACCGAGTACGGCAGAAAGTGATTTTCCCCCGATTACAGTACTGATTTTCCCCGATTGATTACTGATTTTTCCCGATTTTTCTATGTAGAGAACATCAAAAGGGTAATTATATATGAATTAAAGAAAATCTGTGTCAATAATTATGCAACCTTCCTTTTCATTCATACATTTTTATCATTGACCTCCCATGGGCAATATGGATTTTGATGACCAATCCTAAAAATAGAAACTTTTCCGGAGCAAGGAAGTCATGGGAAGTGATTTTCTTATATTATTCAAATATCTAAATATTATTTCTCTAATTATAGAATACTTATTCAAATGTGCAAATTAAGTAAACTTAGAGCTGGAAGTACTTTTGAAAGGAGATTAGGAAAATACTAAAAAAAATATGATTTCAATTTCTGATGCAGTGTACTGATTGTCCATTATCAGTGTACAGATTGTCCCAGAGAAGATGAAGTTAATTACAGATTTTCCCCGATTTTCTCTTATAGTATCATAAAGAAAAAGGTTCATTCTAAGTTTTATTTTTAACTGTTACTTGCAAGAAAATATCAACATAGCTTTAATAGCTTTCTAAAAATGTCATCTTTGAAGAAATAGTACCTCACCATCAGAAGACACATCCATCTGAAAAACTGGTCATTTGGAGAAGACTTGAAGAGGGTGGTGAAAGATAACATACCATGCATTCATTCCAGAACTTCTTGACAGAGAAGGAAAAACTTTTATTAAAATACAAGATGAAAAAAATTATAATTTGTAACTTATCAACAAATACACCACAAAAGATTATCAAAAAAGGCATATCATCACAATCTCCAACCATTTCAGACAATTTATCAAATTCACCAAACTATGAATCCAGAAATATACAAACAGTAAGTTATCAACCCCAAGCAAGAAGAAACCTGATTAAAGTTTCTGAACCAACCAATGAAATATCAATGAACAAAAAAATCTCTAATTCAATTTTATATATAAAATTGTAGAATTACAGGTTTGCAGGAAAATTTTTCATATACTCCACTATTTTTATTAGCACATGTCTAAGTGTAATGAAGATCCACATATTAGCTTTATTTTTGAAGGATTAGCTTTTTCAAAATCGGGGACAATCTGTATAGGTATCAGGGAAAATCTGTAATCAACACAAGCTGATCGGGGACAATCTGTACACCAAAGCTCAAGTTTAATTGCTAGTTTTTTTCCCATTTAAATGCATATTTTGTCCAAATTTCTACTTGCATTTTTCAGATTATTATATTTGAAAAAAATTTCATGAAAAAAAATCTAATTTATGCTCCCAGTTTTCTAAAAGCAGACTAAAACAGATTTTGTTCGACTCAAATCAGCTGCAACAGCATCAAAACAAAGAACAAGGAAGGTCATGATGTAACTTCAAAGCAATCCCACCTCAGGATATCACTTACTAATGACTGCTGACCAGACAGAATAAATGATCTTTAACCAATTGATTAGATCAAGCTACTTAAATTAAATAACAGAACTATAGTGTAAAATTTATCATGAAAAATCAGTACAAAATCGAGGAAAATCAGTACTATAATCGGGGGAAAATCACTTTCTGCCGTACTCGGTTATAGGTAGTGTATTAGCTTCGTAAATATACCACATACTAGTATGTGCATGTCCCTGTAAATGCATACCGACATTACAAACTTATTTACACAAAACTCCAATAACCTGGTGTTCTCTTTTGTAGTTTTCAGGGGGTATGGTGACATTCACTGGTAAAGGTTTGTTTGTTATTTGTATAAGTCTTCATCAGTGCCATTTACCAGAAGGTGCAAACATATAATCAATACCGTCCTGGTGGATAACATACAAACAGTTATATTAGGAAGGGTGATAATTTTTTGTCGCCTGTTTTCTCTAGTTAAAAAACAATAACATCGAGTGACGTTATGCTTGCTCTTTGCACTAAACAAAAACATTTCATTTTATCTGATTTCAGTATCTATATTTAATGAATATCTTGTGAAAAATCAAATCAATTATGTGTATCTCATGTGTCTTGTGTGTGTGATTCAGGTGTTGTCTCATCTGGGCATAGTATACTAACATATTAGTATAATAGTCCCAGGTCTCATGCATTTACTTTATTCATGAAGATTTTCATCGCTACAGGGTGATTGAAAATTTAAAGAGAAAAAAACGCCCCGGGTATTTAATGGGTAACTTAAAATAAATATGTAGAACTGATTGGGTATTTAAATGTTTTAAATGTGTTTTGTAAATATAGAAAATCACGTACTGTAACTCGTTTAAAATACTGTAAATACACTCCTTGCTGCTAAAAAGAAGTAGACCGATTTAACAAATCTAAAAATGCATTCAACTTTAGTTATAGATCTACATGTACTAGACATTAAAATTGTTCCATTTGCACAGGTTTGACTGTGTTAAAAAAATGTGGATGATGGCAACACAGCGTGGATACAGCATCTGTATTCAAATCAAATTGTACTTTTTGTAAATTGTTGAGTATTAAAACAATAGTTTTTTTCCAATTGTTTTGATGTAAACCAGTAAAGCGTCGACACAGGATCTGTATTCAAATAATATATGTGTAGATGTAAAGATATGAAACCCTCTTCAAGTCAACCAGATATGTGTAGATGTAAAGATCTGAAACCGTCTTCAAGTCAACCAGATATGTGTAGATGTAAAGGTCTGAAACCCTCTTCAAGTCAACCAGATATGTGTAGATGTAAAGATCTGAAACCCTCTTCAAGTCAACCAGATATGTGTAAATGTAAAGGTCTGAAACCCTCTTCAAGTCAACCAGATATGTGTAGATGTAAAGATCCGAAACCCTCTTCAAGTCAACCAGATACATGTATGAGGGGCCTGATGGGGGGGTCTCATCCCGATTCACGAGTTGATTTTTTTGTCAATCACGATTCACAGAAAATAAATTTCCATGATCACGGTCACGAAAATATAAAAAAAAATCTGTAGAAAAACGGATCACGATAGCGAAAATGCGCCGATCACGAAGAACGAAAATAACCCATCAGGCCCCTCATGTATGTGTAGATGTAAAGGTCTGCGAACCTTTTCAAGTAAACCAGATATGTGTAGATGTAAAGATCTGAAACCCTCTTCAAGTCAACCAGATATGTGTAGATGTAAAGGTCTGAAACCCTCTTCAAGTCAAACAGATATTTGTAGATGTAAAGGTCTGAGAACCTTTTCAAGTCAACCAGATATGTGTAGATGTAAAGATCTGAAACCCTCTTCAAGTCAACCAGATATGTGTAGATGTAAAGATCTGAAACCGTCTTCAAGTCAACCAGATATGTGTAGATGTAAAGATCTGAAACCCTCTTCAAGTCAACCAGATATGTGTAGATGTAAAGATCTGAAACCCTCTTCAAGTCAACCAGATATGTGTAGATGTAAAGATCTGAAACCCTCTTCAAGTCAACCAGATACGTGTAGATGTAAAGATCTGAGACCCTTTTTAAGTCAGCTAGGTATGTGTAGATGTAAAGGTCTGAGACCCTTTTTAATTCAGCTAGATATGTGTAGATGTAAAGGTCTGAGACCCTTTTTAATTCAGCTAGATATGTGTAGATGTAAAGGTTCATCAAGTGTAATGAATTGCATTTTTTGATGATGAAATCTCCCTCATTGTTCAAGATGGAACCAGTCACCCAAAATTGGTTATTAATTTACTGTGCATAAAGATTATTTAGGATTTAAGGGGAATATTAGAAGTGCAAATGATTACATAAAATTCAAACAATAAAAAATAAGGAGATTACCAATAAGACAACTCTCAACCAGTGCAGATACCAAATAACGTAGAAGTTAATAGGTCACCGTACGGCCTTCAACAATGTGTAAAATCCATACAGCATAACATGCTATAAAAGACCCGACATGGCAAATATAAAACAATTCAAACGAGAAAACTAACGACCGGAATTATCTACAAAACAAACGAAAAACAAATATGATTTTCAGCAAAACACGACAACCACTGAATAACAGGCTCCTGACTTGGGATAGACACATGCAGAATGTAGCGGGGTTAAACATGTTTGCGGGCGCCCAACCTTCAACAACAAGTTTTCGTTGCCAACATTTCTGAATACCCGATTGTTTATGAGATTGATCCCCCATAAGATGTTGGTTTGAGGGGAATCAATTTAGCAACTTATTCAGTCTCTTAAAATGTCGCTATAAACCAAAAGTGTAGTTTTTAATAATTTTGCTAAAATTAAAAAATATAGAATTATAAATATATATCCCATTTGGGCCATTCTATCCAACACGGGAGTATTCTAACCCATGCCCGACTGGTTCCAACCTGTTAATTTGGTCTAGGTAGGTGTTTATAGATTTTAAAAACTTGTTTTACAATAATTACATAACGAGATGTTTCATCGGATTCCGTTAATTTGATTGGCAGACAATAATCACGAGGTATTCCAAAATCATGTTCATTAAATTAAACATCTTTGACTGCACGTGCTCTCCGTGACAACGTTAAAAAAGAAAAACTTACGAGAGGCTTGATTTAACTCTCAATTTCATTGTTATAGCAAAAAACTTAATTAGATGAATAGAATGTTTCTTTTTTTGTTATTTTATAGGGTTGCAAAAGTGAAAACTTTTTTTAAGAAGGAAGCGCTTCATACAAAATGTAATTTGGTCAATGTTTTTTTTAAAACCCAAATAAATAACAAATGTCAAACTTATATTAGATTTGCAAAGATAAAAAAAATACATTATGTTTGAATTACCGCAATTCTTTCTCTTCGAATGTATATACCGGCATTTAAATTTTAATTTCATAACATTTGACTATCCATTACATTAGAACGGAACAGTTAATAAAAAAAATATTAAGAAATACAAATGTTGTCCTACCTTTGAGCAGAGAACCTTCCAGTTGACGAGATTGTGTAAAAGTGAGGAGCTTTGAAGTGGAACACCCGAGTTTGTACTGACATGTAAGTGACTTCCCACTCACTATAAAAACAGGTTCTGCTTCTTTTGTGATGTCACACACTAACGAGTGTTAATTGATCCCCCTTTGGCTATTTTCAAACAACTTAGTCTTGGTCACTTTGTCCCTTTTTATGTAAAAATAAAAAGCAAGGGTGACAAATTTTTATAATGTTAAATGTAATATTAATTTTAATCAGATTTTCATTGGGATAAATATTTTTAATGAGATTATCTTTATTTGTTAAGCTATTTAAATTTGCAAAAAAAAATCCACTTGTTTAATTGCTTCAATGTTTGATTCTTAAGAAGATAATTTTATATTTTTTTATTAATTGAAACGGGTGTCTACATTAACTTAGAAAAAGCCAACAAGGTAGTTTATCCTTTTATGAATTGATTTTTAAAAGGGTTTGGTTAGAATTACTAGGACAACAATTGGAACTAGAATGTAGATATTACAACCGGTTTTACACATATTGGTTTTGAGTAAACGTGGTATTATGTATTTAAAAATGATTAAATATTTGCTCAAAACAAACAATATAAGTGTATATGAACTTATTTTACACAAACTGTAGTGAAAGGTGAGGACGGGTGATTTTGAATACATGTGTAACAAATTAACACCCACAATTAGAAATTAACAAAGATCTAATGTTTGTTTATCCATGCAAGACAGGGGCGGATTCAGTAATTTTTGAATGGATATTCTTCATCGTGTGGTTTACTGACGAATCTTAAAATTTAACTTATTAGGAAAATAAAAATAAGTTATGAATTGATTCTAACCCTCCCTTTTAAAAATGGCTGGGTCCGCCCGTCTCTTAATCATATATCATAATAACTGCACTAGGTAAAATTAAAAGGGTCCGTTCATCTTTCCAAAGAAGTAAGATCGTTTAAACAATCTTTGTAAATGTCTCGGCCATTTTCAGTAATATGCCAGTGGGTCCTTGGTTGTTATGGAAATCTGTGTCATCATATTTTCTTGTTTTTGCTTTAAAAACACTCGACATTTCCAGAACTATTTACACAATCTTCGTGTGTGATTTTCTTGCCAACCTATATTTAAAATTGTCAATCAGCTGATGTATTTACTGGCATTCAGATTGGTTGCTAAGTGACAGGTGGTCGATGTATATTTTATGAGTTTCCTCTAGAAAATGAACAACTGTGGATATTGAAATTTACTTTAGAAAAAGACATTTCTTGTTTATACAGGATTTTTGGAAAAAATTTTAGTTTCATGGAAACTATGTAATTTTCTGAAATTGACCATAACGAATTTTCAGAAGCGAGAAAGAAGTCAAGCTATGCACTTTATGTATGTACATCGATTTGAGTTCCTCTCTCTTTATAAGCCTTTTTATCCAATAAACTATACCAGTAGATGGGGAATTTGCAGTCATTCATTAATTGGTGAAAACCTAGCTAAAAATGAGCTAAATTGTCATAAGAGCCTATCTTTTAAGGGCACACAAAGTATTTATATTTAATCTTATCAAAGGATGTTTGAGGTAGCATGGTTATATAGTAAATCTTTGTGCTGTACTTTATCCACATATTCATACTGTTGAAAGATATTTTGTAAAGGATAACAGGAATCAGCAGAAATACTGACCAGTACAACAGTATACAAACGAGGATATTTTGTATGAGTAACAAATGATACAACTGTTCATAGACCAAAGAACACAGATGTGAACAATTACAGGTTGTCGCATGGCCTTGAACAATGAGCAAAGTCCTATTGAATAAGCTATTAAAGGCCCTGTTATGACAAAATCTAAAACAATTTAAAAAAAAAATCAACGGACTGAACAATTCTTCAAATGTAAACGAAAACTAAATATGATAGAAACACAATTAGAATGTATGATAGACTGTCCACATCCACTACCAAAAGGTTTGAACCAACCCCCTAAATGAGGAATATCCTTTATATGAGGGACTGTCCCTTTGACAAGGGTTTTTTTTTTGCTGTTGTAGAGAGGAAAAAAGAAAAACTTAAGTCTTTTTAACTTGAAAAGGGGAAAATTCATTATATTTGGAACAATTTTTCTAAAAGAGGGGTCCATATTTCAATAACGAAGAAGAATGAAGTCCATGAATATTCCAAAATTCATGGACATGTTTTGTCAATATAATACCAGATAGACATATTGTTTTTGGAGAAAAGTTTCAGCAAATAATATAAATATGTGCCCTTTTGTACTTAGAAGTGGTTTTTAAAACAAAATATTTTTTATCACTTGTAATTTTCCCCTCATAAAAGAGATAGTCATTACCCTGAGGGGTTATCCCTTATTTGAGGGGTTGTTCCAAACCTAACCAACACCCGATTCCTCCGAGGTAAAAACAAACACATAATCAAAAGCAAATAACAACAAACAACACATGGTTTAGGCAGCATTAGTTGGTACAGGCACACACGTTTGATTTCAAGTCAGTTATAATGGACCAGTACATGTACATGTGGGCATTAAGCAAGCAGCAATTAATCAATCTTGTCGAGTGGACCGCACAGATTATGTGTAATAGAAGAGCTGACCTAAATTTAACAAACAATGTGAATCGGTAAAAGTTCGAATCGATAATTATCATGGAAAGATTTTTTTGTTAAACCAAAAACAGACAAAACATTATATGTTATACTTACACAGAGACAACGTAGTCTTATGAAAAGTTCAAGGACAGCTAAATTTTCCAGTGTACTTGTTATGAAAAACATCCGAATTGTTTGCCTGGCATATCTTTCATAAATTATTTCCTGTCAAGTTATTCTAAAATGTATATTATGTATGATATGCCCAATAATTGTCTATACCACATAGTATTGTCCCTTTAATTTACAGTCAATAAAATTAAAATATAGATCTCTGATAAAGTTATCCTCATAGGAGCGTCGACGAGTATAAAGCGAGTTAGGATAGGACGAATTTTAATCAGATTGTTTTACAATAAGATTGTCGGACAAATTATGACAGAATTTTATTAGAATTGTACTTCCGTCATCGTCTGTAATTTACATCTATATCTTCAATGCAGTGTTATCGATATCTAACAAAGAATTTCTCTCAGTCCAGTTTAGGACCGTCTTTAACTTGCAGTTAAGTATAATCTTTTGCTTTTGGTTTGCTCACTTTGACTTTGAAACGAAGACCAGTAATAAATGTGGTGTTTGTTCGCTCTGGGTTCAGTCATGTGCATGTATGTGTACGGGTATTATGCCATGATATTAAAGTCACATGAAACTAGTTTCTTGTAAATATGAATATAATGATGTTAAGTAAATTATTGAACCAATGCATGCATATATACTAAACTAAGTCTTGTATGCACTTTTTTGTAACATTTATTACGAACCTTTAAAGTTCAATCGAAAAACAGTATTTCATTTTTTTTTTATATTTTCCATGCGTTCTCATTTGTTAATTAAACTTTACCATAACAGTTGTTCAATGGTTTGGCGTATTAAATTGTTCTTTCTGGGTCCTGAGTCAATTACATTAACACATTTTACCTTCCAGTGCACGTTTGTTTACATTCGTTAAATCACGGGTTTTCCATCGCACTTCCGCCGTGCGGTTGCGAAAGTTCTAACGAGAGGTCTATTGGTTAAGCTTACTGCATACGGAAAAGCTATCGGCGAATTAGAGTATGGGAAGCCAATTATTCAATGGCAGTACATTTCTGAAGATTTTGATATCTTTTACAAGAAAGTTCACTGTACACTCGTTCTATAGTAAAACTTAGCCATTCAAGTACAAAAAAACATATTCATCTTTTTTTTTTAATTTGAAGTTTCATATGACTTTAAAAACCATATTCCTTCTTTCGATTTCCACAACTTTAATATTTGTGAATATAGTGTTTAATTGCGTAAACATATATATCTGATTTGCACCCTTGGTCAATAGACTGATCGTCATCTCTGACAGAAACACTGTACAGTGATAAGTAATTTGTACTTATATAAAGACGAAGTGATGTTATCTTAAAGAATGTCGTATCCACTAAATATTTACATAATTTCTAATTTAAACAGAACTATTTTAAATTTGTTTAAGATTTGTCATTATAAGTTAAACTTTAGAAAACTATTTAATTTTAACCGCCTCCTCCATAACTATGTACGTACTGGAGGGTAGAAAATGACTTGTTAGTCGTTACACGTCGTTTGATGTATTTTAAAGATCTAAAAAGCATGTTATGTTCTTGAATTATTGATGTATTATAATATTTGTGTTGCATTTTTTCATGCATGAAATGAAATTAACACAGCGTCAAACGTTTGAAGAAATATTTATCACCCAAAGATCATTTACGTTGAAATCACTTCATATTCAATTCATCCTTGCGTGGAGGTTAACAAATACAGATATGCAGGTTGGCTCCACAATGACCAGAAAAAGAGGGGATTTCAAACGAAACTAATACACGGAAGGAAAGTGTGTCAAATGATACTTTTAAAAAAACGAAAGTATTGCCATTGAATTAAGATTTCACTTTCAATGTTGGTGTACATGATAATTCTCAATCTCTTTTAAAAATATACCAAGGGGGAACAGTACGTGTTACTTTTTGTGTTTTCTTCAGTGATACCGAATATTAATATACTTTAAGCCCAAATCATGTTCTAATTGTACACCTTTTGCCCAAGTGGATTTATAACACTTTTTGTGATAGCCAGTAGAAATAGTTCATTCTCAGCGATGGGATTACTGAACGGAAAAAAGAGGAGATCATGTCTATCTTAGTTGTTTGTTCAGGTCTCTAAAGAATTTCCATCTGACAGTAAGTGATATGTTTAATGAATAGTCCGTTAGAATGTAATATGCAGTAGGAAATTAGATATGAACCTTGTTTTGTACAAGACCGACACACTAAGACAGTGCTAGTTCACAAAGTAACAAACAGTATGCAGGAAGACATATCACCCTACCCGGACACATTATTGTGATTCCGGGCCGACAAGCTGCAGGAAGACATCACCATACACGGACACATTATTGTGACTTCGGGCCGACAGGAAGACATATCACCATACCCGGACACATTATTGTGACTCCGGGC